AATACATAAAATCGAAAATAGGTGACTGGTCTAGCTTGAAGCCCACGTGATAACTTCGGGAAGTTAATGATGTAATATATTGTAGCCTTTCTATATCAGCTTGCAACTTGGAAAGAGAAGTCGACTATTTGATCAGTCGCAGTCGCAAACTGCCTGCTTATACAATAATAATAATAGTAATAATAATAATAATAATAATAATAATAATAATAATAATAATAATTAACAATTAGACTTCGAGGTCGAGTGGACTACGAGTTAATAGCCCATGAGGCCGAGTCCGCGAGGCCGAATGGGATATTAGCTCGTAGTCCACGAGGCCGAGAGGTCTAATTGTTTTAGTATAAACATACTAATCGGTCAAATAATGAAAACAAATTGAAATATCCTTAAAATAATTTATTAATGAGATGCCGCCATTTTGATTTTCCCGCGAGTGGTCTATCACAAATTAGACCATTAGTAGAGTAGCCAATCACAGCGCAGTATGAGTGATAGACCATTAGTATGTTTATACTAATACTAATAATACATGATCCATACTTGATGTGACTTTTAAACCAATGTCTCTGATGTGATTTCAAATCMGTCCCCCTCTCTCGAAAAATGCCGTTATAAAAAGTAAAAAAAAACTGATTGTCGTCCAAACGATGAAGTGAATTAATACTYTATTTCATGATGTATCTCTTCTAGTGTAAAAGTATGTAATCAAACATTCTCATTKGTGTCTAGGACAAGGTGTAATACTCACTTATAACTTCTGTTTACTGGATAAACAAATACGGTTTGTAAAAGATGTTTTCAATGTCAAAATGTTTAGTTACGAAGTTTTTAAAACATGTAGTGAAAAGTGGTACTTAACTTCTGKTGAAGTTACTTTTATCGATAACTGATTTTAGAGATTTAAAATTAAGTTAAAAAAGATGACTCTATTAATGAATACTTATTATTAGATACTTCTTATAAATATCCTCTGCCTGCGTACTAAGGTGTTGTTAGTTAACACCCTACCAAACWGGTTTTACGCCACACKTACATTCACGTAACAAGATCCAGTTCACTTTTGTCAAAGTGAGCGTCTATTATGAAATAATAATAAAACTGGCTTACGCCCAGAAAGAAATGTAAAGGCTATCCAGTAATATTGACCAATGAAAGTGCCTGTATTTTGCTTAGTTACCATGCGAATGTTTTTTTAWAATAAGTAATTTTTATAATAAGTAAATGAAAGAAAAGGTGGATTGGAAACCACGTGTAAATAGTGTTTGAGTATTTTCTTGACATTTTCTCATACTTAACATCAGTCCTTGCATACAGGGTTTTGCTCAAACTTGAAGATCAAGCTAGTGCCAGGCTCTGGCTTGAACAGATCAATACCTACATTGGTCCTGGTACCGGTTGGGTTGCTATCATCCGCGGTGTATATCATCCAATATTTGTTTGTTTCCGGGACTTGTTCAACACCAGCAATCGCTATCAGCATATGGCCTAAACCGGAATAATACTTTGTGTCAAAGGAATAGGAGACTGGATCCACCTCGCTCGCTACTTTTAGGATGTCATGCGCAGTAGAACCATTGTTTACGGTCAAATTTAAGGGCGAAGGGTCTTGATGTGTTTCGYTGTTTTCATCGGTTGTTAAGAACCTGATCTCAACTTTGATTTCCTGTGTACAAAAAAAAAAAATGAATTTGAACTTTTTTAAAAGAGATGAAGAGCCGCAAAACTAAACTTGCTAGATGCTCTAAGAGCGTTTACTCGCGTTCTAGGGAATCATTCTGTGCATTTACTTACTCCCGTGGAGTTCAAAAACAAACTWAGTATGTATAATCTGAATGAATTTTTTTACCGTCAGTATTTATCTATTAATTGTTAACCTAAATTCCTATCCAATTCCATTAGTTATAATCTATCAATATTCTATTATTYTCTCTATATTTTTTACTAAATATGAAGGATTCAGTAATCCATTGGCCTGCCTCTATTATTTTTTTTCTATTTGTAGRCCAATGGAATCATAARCATTTGTAAATATATACAAAATATTAATATATTGAAATTGAAATTGAAATTGAAAATGAAATTGTTATGTATTAGTCAAGAACGCCTGTATTTTAAATCCTTCGTTTATACATCAGAGTTCGTTAATGAACACGTACCACTTCAATTGATAAAATATACTGTTTTAAATCAGAARAGTGTTGAAAATGTTTTCTCAATTTTAGGTATTTGCTTCAGAATTATGAAAACAAACATAGAGCATCCAATATAACCTAATAAAATATTCAAAATTAAGCTTCATACAGTTCCTTCTGCGAGTCAAGCAGCAGTTATGTAAAAAGATAAATTTAACACCGCAACTGAAAAAATAGGAGAAATAACTAACTGAAATTGAAACAAGGATGACTTTCTCATGCAAAACTCTCTTTTACTCTCGCGAAGTATTTTTATAACACGTTAAATACTTCAACATCTTTGATTATAAAATTTTAAATTAGATCATGACCATTAGAGAAAAATCTTGAATACTACTCACCATTTTGACTGTAGCAGTTCTAAAGTCTTCAATAACTTCAATGGATTTCAGGTAAACCACAGAATGATCGAGATGTTTTCTGTAATTCCAACTAATATCACAAAAACAACCAATGAAAACTCTTGATAGAAAAATAACCATGCTTGACCAATAGTGGGACTTTTTTTATTTTTTATTTTTATTATTATATTTAGTCATCGCTATTTATCATCAACACACATCATGGTTTTTCTTTTTTGTTTCGGGTGTTACCGCTGGCCATTTTGATCCATTTATTCAGACATATCAAACTGACATTCTTCATGCTAGCTATTGTGTTATATAAAGACTGAATTGAAATATTTGTTATTATTCTTGGCAGATCGTTATAGAAGGTATTCGAGGCTTTAGTTACCTAGGTGATATTGCTATTGATGTGATTTCAAATCAGCRCACCCTCTCCCAAAAAATGCCATTAGAAAAAGGAAAAAAAATATCATTTTGTACAAATAATGAAGTGAATCAATACTTTATTTCATGATMTATCTCATCTAGTGTAATCATACACCAAGYTTCTCATATTTGAAGATYACGCAAGTRCCGTGCTTCGGTTTGAAGTGATCAATGCCTGTAACCGTCAAGGTACCGTTTGGACTGAACTCATCGGTGTAYTTCATCCAAAATTTGTTGTTTTYAGGGTCATGTTCAACGCCACCAATCGCTACCAGCATACGRCCAAAAGAATAAGACTTTGTCTTAAAGGAGTAGGAGACTGGGTCCTTCTTTCTCGCTTCTTGTAGGATGTCATGCGCAGTAGAGCCATTGTTTACGGTCAGGATTAAGGGCAGAGGGGCTTGAGGTGTTTCGTTATTTTTATCGGTCGTCAAGAACTTAATAGAGATGCAGACGTTGATCTTCTGTGTACAAAAAAGAGCCACAACTAAAATATACAGATAAAATACACAATTAGATGCTTTAAGAGCGTTAACTCGCGTTCTAGGAGAGAATTCTGCATTTATGCCATGACCAGTGACTTCCACTATGCCCGCGACTTAACAAAACATCCCAAGGGATGGTGCGTGCCTATAGCAATTGGCATTTCCTTCTTTCAAGCTTGAAGATGATCATGAATCCGCTCAGCGTCTAATAAAAGGTTTCTTTTCAGGGTCCTGAAATTCAGTGAATTTTCTGTCGCAAATATGAGAATATGTGACCTTTTCAGTCAGACTAGAAGATGATCAGTAAAAAATAAGTAATAAACTCTTCAGACATCGTTTTTTTTTTGTTTGTTTGTTTTTTTTTTTTGTTTTTGTTTTCCGCTTTTCTTCTTGTTCCTTTATGCGAATTCTTTCGAGTAAAACATGGTAGCCTGTGTTACATTTCCGGAAATTAAATAGAAATTACGGATGTAACACAGGCTAAAAACATGGAGACAAAAGAGAAATGATTTCCACAAGTTATATATCTAATTATACAATAATCGCTAATCATAATTGTCACGTGTTTCTATTCATTTCTTTTGTTTCTCGTGACCAGTCTGAAAAGAATAGCATTCCGTTCACTTAGTATACAACACGACCTGGGACTGACGCCCTGGAAACGGATAGCGTCTGTTTAGCATATTAGTGAGACTATGCCGTTTTATGTTCTGAGTTAAGACACAAACTAGATCTGAMTATGAAAGAGACATGTTTAAACAGCAGAACTGTTACTACCTGAATAAATAGCCGGCCGAATACCATGTACACAGAAACAAAAATCACGTTAAATTTATTGACAAAAAGCAGACAWGCAACAAAGCTGGAAGGCTAAAATAATGAGGAAGTCAACGCAAGCAAAACTTGAAATAAAGAAAGACKAAATAAAYCAGCTGAATGAAGTAGCAGAAATATTAAAAACGAAAAGACAAATACAAAAATRTGCACAWTGTATATCTACTAGCCTTTTTCACAATTTCACTAATTATTTTTATGTATMTGTTGGGTCTTTCTCTCGGTTTTGTACTGTGGTTTTTGAATTGCAATTGTCTACATATACATTGTTCAAATCTAGCTCGCAAATTAAAATAAAAATTCAGTCATAAGATGTAAAGAGCTGAAAATAATAAGCAAAAACAATTCAAAAAATTCAAAAAAGAGRGGAMCAAAGTTATAAATAACAAACAGTACAACTTACATTTTGAACAGTCTGTGAAGAAAGAACTGCGAAAGAGTACAGCCAAAACACAACAAAAAAAGACTTCATCTTTACTTTCTGCGCGCAACAACCACAGTCGCGGTCGACTTCTCGAACTTACGATTTAAAATGAAAAAATGTCACATGACAAATGACTGAGTAGCCAATCACCGGACTGCCTGTTATTCGTAATGCTGAGCATGCGTAGTAATAATGATGGAAGGCAAGTGTTAAGTGTGATTTAATAGCAAACTACTAGATCCTTCTGAAATAGGAAGGATCATTCCGTCTTACAGTACGCTCATTATACAACAATGTTATGACGATACAATGGCGCGAAGACGATAAAACAATGTCAAGACTAGAAAGATATAGTACAATTTTGGAGTAAAACGGATTATGTTACAACAATTTAAAAGACTGAATTTGTTCAAATTTAAAGTTCGGGCAAAAATGATAATATCAAAAAAGAAGAGCAGCCGAAAAAAATAAATGAAAATAAACAGTACAAAACGGTCACCCATCCGAGTGGGTGACCGTTGCGCCCACACCCTCGAGGGAGGTGATTAGTCGATAATTCCTAGTCCATACATGACTAACCCCTTCATGTGGTTTGCATGTCTTTTCAACATACAATTATTGTAGTCTATTAAGCGCCCGGGCTCACTTGGTTTTGAAACCTGTAAAGGAGCGTTTGCTTGCATGAGTATACACGACGTCTAAAATAAAAATTCATGAAAATTCCAAATTTCCAAAAAAAAAAAAAAAAAGATTTTATAAAAAAAAGCAAATCGTAGAAATCCAAACGTACAAATTGTAAACTTAAGGAATTGAAAAAGTCTAATCTGGGACGAAACTAGTTTTCCTTAAAATAAAGTTTCTTGGCGTGACTGTGTGTTAAAGACTTCACGTATTGAGTTTAATCCTGTCCAGCATTATGAGATTTTATAATAGTCTTAAAAGATGAGCATCGGGACAAAATGTACCGCACAACTGCAAAAAGATTTTCAAAATCGATCTTTTATTTGGGAACATGCTGTCATTGAAGTAATACTCTTTAGAAATTATATAAAAAGTTTTTCAAGATTGATTTTTCGGTCCCACATGGCAGAGCGGATCACCGAGTGCTTGGTATAAATGGTACAGGATGTGACTTATTTCTAACACAAGGRGTTAGTCATTAGTGCTTAGGGTCCGGCTAATCACCTCCCTCATTGGTGGAACGGGTGCTCGTCCAAATGGATGGGTGCCCCATTTTGATGGTACTTTCAAAAACATTTCTTACCGTGTGTAGAGCGAAGGCAAGGGTACCGGGTTCGATCCTCGACTGGAGCATGTCTGAAAAATTATTTCTTTTTTCTTTCTTTCTTTCTTTTTTTTAACTGAAACCTTGTTGCTCTAGTCATGTAAGATTTTTTTCAGCTACAAGAACTGAGTTTGTTTTCAATAGAAAAAATACTCATTGCCATAATACTCTTCCATAAGGGACTATAAGACGGGAATTTACACTAAAAAGACGATATCAATTCTCAAAAGTTCAAAAGGCTAGAAAATGAACTGAAAATGAAAGCTGGTCCGACCTAAAAATTCCGACTTCCATTTAAGATCTCGACAAAAATCAAAAACCTGTAAGTCGTGCCCATATTAAAATTGGAAGCTGTCGAGCAGCTTTATACGGCAAACTTTTATTGCTCTTCACCTGCATCCTGTATAAAAGACACATCTATCTGCCTTATAATCTTTACCTTCACCATTTGTTTACTTCTGTGTAAAACACATCTGTAGTAAAGTTTATTCATAGCTCGGTTGCCTCAATCTCCTTAATTTTTATTTGTTTCTGCCTTCCCTCCGTATCATTTGTTCCATGCGACTTGAACAGCGGTTGTTAACGAATTTCATTACCGTTAATGAAATGTAATAACAACGAAATGGTTATTCTAAGAAAGACTTTCTTAGAAAAGCCTGTATAACATAAATAACGATTTCAAAACCTTCACAGGTTACCATTGCTTATTGCTATACATATTGTCAATGAAAGATAAATCTATTGCGAACAATATAACTGCAAAGTATTGTTTTAATGTTCTAATTGTTTAATGATTTGGACAGATAGTATATATCTTTTTGTTAACTTGTTTAAATTTTATGTTCAAGTGTACCATTTTTGTTATACAAGGAACAAAAGTATTATTATTATTTTTATTATTACGATTAGGTGTGCCGGATCCAGGATTTTTCAAAGGGGGGTTCCTCTTTGTTTTCGCATTTTCCTAAAACGAACTTTTTTACTGTGCCTCTCGAACTGTAGCAAATGTAGTGTGAATGTATTTTTGAATAAAAATTCATTGTACGATGCGTTTTCATTTTATTTCATTTATCATTTCTTTTTTTCATGCTTGAGGGGGGTTCCTAGGAACCCATGGAACCCCCCTGGATCCGCCACTGATTAGTAGTTTGTATTTCTGCTCAGTATTTTGTCGTTGTTTTTTTAGGCAATTTTCAGGATTTTTCTACCTCCAAATCATGCAGTTGTTTCAGGAAATTTTCTTCAACCTCTACGTCATTAAACCCAATTCCTTATTTGTTTACGACTTTTCAATTGTTTCTTAGCAAATCAGAATCCTTGATTTCGAAAGAAATGTGCATTGTATTTCGTTTCTTCTGCACTCCATATTTTTTTTCTGCACGGTATTTCCCTATAACAGCACTGTTCTTAGCCAATCGGCTACCAGCATACAACAGCTTCTCTAAACTTTTGTAGCGCGTTCGTGATGATTCTCCGACAKGCAATGCGAAAGTGACGGATTCGCAMGCTGTACACCAAAAAATTCATAGAGGAGTTAGCAAAACTAACACTAGCAAACCATGGGAGATTCTTCGAAATCAAATTTCCACAATGATGAACAAACTTTGGTCCAACTATGAGGTTGACAACAGGTGGAATCCAGCAAGCGAAGAAGAGYAAGATGACAATCCCAATTGTTTTAGAAACTCGATTCTCCATCGTCCTGTCCCTTACAACTGCAGACAATGCAGGGAGTGCAGGTGCGATGGTGGTGGACTTAATTTTGCAAAGAATCGTCCCATATGAAGCAAGCATGACAGTCAAGCTCAAAAGCGGAATAGCTATAAGGAGAGGTGAACCGAAAAGTATGTTGCCGTAAATGAGTCGAAATACGGAAGATATGCAGCAGCTTACAAAGGCAGCTCCCCAACAGRCGCCAATCATCACCTTGTACCATTTCCTGATGATATTTCGATATTGGTGKGGCTTTGCAGTACAAATCGCTCTGTCAACACTGATACAGGCAAGATGGAATACCGAACTAAAGGTAGACAGAACTCCCAAAATATTCCAGGCAATACCGAGTGTCTTGGCAAGGCTGCATCGATGGAAAATCGATASAATCAYCTGTGCTGCAAATAAAGGCTGAATAACTACAGTAACCAGTAAATCTGCAACTGCTAGGCTCAGAAGAATGAAATTCGATACCTTTTGTCGAATGCGAGGAGTACTTAGAACAGCAAAGATGATCAGAAAGTTTCCAAATGTTCCAAAGACTGCAAGAATCAAATTTATCGCCACGAGTACCATCCTCACCGTAACTGGAACATGGAAATCGAGGTCGACTCTAACCTTGGACGTGTTTTCATTCACAGAAATGGAAACATTTCTAAAATAAGACTTATTGTATAAAGACATGTCAGTTATTACAGCTATTACCCCCGAATTCCTAATTTTGTTCTGCTTTTGTGGTACCTTTGGGAGCGTTCTACGCTGACGCGTTTTACTCTAAGTCCTTGTTGCAGCAGAATTTTTTTTCGCCCTCGAAACGGAATGAAAGTCGCTGTCTAAATGGACTATTTATGTGTATTAACGAGTCTTGAGTTTAGAATTTTACGGCCGTTTTGGTTTTATAGGATCTGTTTCTTTGGTTCCACCCAGAGTAATTCAATCATGTATTGATTCAACTAATGGATTAAATGAATTTCACCTCAGTGTCCTTATTTTATAACTGGAAGAGCTCTCATCACCTGCAGGCACATTCTATCTTTTTTAACTTAAGTTTGATTTATGTCTCGCTAGCGATTGACGTTCAATGTCCCGCAGTGAACTTTCTATCGGGGTGACTTGAAGCAGAAACATCTTTATATATTATTAAGATCATAGGCTCATTGAACAAAAACGTTTTGAAAGAGATATCGACTGAATAGCAGTTAAYGAAGTGTCTAATTTTCAGTCTTTCTAAGAAATCACTTCGTGCCTGACTCATTCAGTAAGACCCAGCATATAGAGAAACAAGAACACCCAGCCTAATTTATGGCGTTTTAGGTACCATGTACTAAATCTAAGAACACAATCAGCCTGAAGAATCAAAATGTCTTATTGGAAACAAACAAACAAACAAACAAACAAACACAGAAAAAATAAATAGCAATTTTAGTGAACAAAATACCGCATAAACAAATTGTTGGAACTAATTTGTCACAAAGGCAAATTAACACACCAGAGTCTGGTCTACTCCCATCAGGGAATCCATACAGCTTTTCACTTGTCAATTATAATGATCACCTGCATTGAAGAATTAAATCTATAAGTTCTGTATTAGAAAGCTAGGACTTCAAACAAAAATTCACAACTTGTATGCATGTTTTCTAGACAAAGGCAAGGATTAATGATGGACGAATGTTTGTGAAGATTGTCTGTCTAAGATTGAAAAACTTAAAACAAATAAAAAAAATTATAAAGCATTTGACTGTGTTTTTTGTCAAGATGTTTTTTACGGTTATAATATTCAGCGACTTTATTATTTTTTTCCACGTCGCAGTTTAGCAATGCCAAGGGACCCATAATCCAGAGTTCCAAGGTTCGATCCGCGACTCGTCGAGCACGTCTGAAAAATTCTTTCTTTTTTCTTTCTTTCTTTTCTTTAACTGAAATATAGGTGTTCTAGTCATGTTAGATGTTTATCGTAGCAATTTGTTTTATTAATGTTTACGAGCCGCGTTTGTTAAATTTTAGAACCAAGATGATACTCGAACAGAGGCGTCGAACAGAGGGGCGCGGGTTCGAATAATAAGGCTGTCATAGTCATCTTAATTTTCTGTAGATTTTGTTTAATAATTATTTTCGAGCCCTTAGTTTGATTTTTACACAGACTATCGTACTAAAAGGACCTATCATGAACAATGATTGATGGAAATATGAATCTTATATATCGGTGAACAAGCTTATAAATTATAAAAAACTTTCATGAAAATCGCTTTACAAAGGAAATTAGGCAGATTTCAGCGGGAAAGCTGTGGACATGCGCAGTGCGTTTTTCACCAGTGTCACTCCGACTTGCCAGGTTATTGAACGGCTTAAAAAACTCTAACACTAATTTGAAACTCAAACCTGTTATGATTCTTAGAGAAATGGTCCTCAAATTAAGTTTTGAGATAAATGGGGCATACTTATCATGCGCGAAACACTTAACAAAGCACTTTGTCCTCTCACAAACATTGAATACGCATAAAGTAAAATAGACGCCCACTGGTGGCTAAAAATTTGGCTTTTTCACGCCTCATGGCTAATTTTTTTCTCATTTTCACGATTCACGGCTAATTTTTCATCATTTCACGGCTCACGGTCAACCTCATTGAGACCCCTTTAAAGTGCGCGTTCAGTTTCAGTGTCTAACTTGAAAGACACTCTTTAAGATTAACTTACATATAAATTTCCTTTAACTGTGAAGCCGGATGGTCCACACTCAGTTGTAAATCATAACGGTTCAATAGGTATTTTTGAGATTTTATTATAGCAAAAATTATTTCTTCAAAAGGGAAATATATCATAAAATACTCTCGAAGTACTGAGCAAGCTCAGTTTCATTGTCAAAGTGATACTAAATAATATTACATGATTGGTTTTCACTAGTCATCTTTTCTACAAATACAATACAAGAACCCACAGATGATGAGAAATGGCAGACAAACAGCACCAATAACAAGATACATCAAGAGAAGAAGAATTACCATGAAGCAACCTACAGAAACAAACATACTCACTTCAAATGGYCTAAAGGGTGGGGCATTTGATTTTTGATGGGAGGAAGGGAAGGAATGTTTTGCGCACGATATTTTTCCCCTTTTCAACCGATGTCCGATATTTCCGTTTTCTTCTTTTTTCCCCTTTTTTTCGGTGGGGAGAGGGTAGAGGATTCATTCCTTGCTTGATATTTGAAAATAATACGGATGACACCTAACGCCAATATTAACTTCTTAACTGAAATATAGCTGGTATATAGGTAACTCAGCAAACGTTATGCGTTATGTGTCATATGGTTTTGAGTGATGTTCTATTGTGTTCTGCTATGTTTTTATTAATTACCTTTGCCTTCGAGGTTATACCATTCAAAATTAGAATCGCATTCACAGCAGCAGTAATCACAGCAGTTTTTAGGTTCTGGTGTTGAAGGTCTGTAAGCAATCGCTGGTGACACAGACGAACCCGGGATGGCGGGACGGCCATATCCCCTATATGAATAAGACAATTAAAAAGATATCACTTCACTAATACAGATCGAAGATTGCATATTTATCATGTTTTAAAGATTGGAATAGCTGCAATATTTCGATGRTCTTCCTCGAGTCTCTAGCTATACTGACGGTGAAGTAGTCTTTAGTTTTATCGGACAGCTACTTCAGAAAAAAGGTGAATCCCTCCAAGACCACATTGCATTGTTGGTCGTATCRCCGTTCAAAATGAGTTTTCGTGGCGTTCAGAGTGACTATACCAGCTCCGTTCAGTCAAGAACTTCAATGTAACGCAATTAAGTTTAACGTAGCTAACGCGTCAGCGCATTGCGGCCTTGTAATACACTTTGCATGTTCATATATGACCCCATATACACCTACTTGTAGAAACGTTGTCATAGAAAATAGAACATTCGTATTTAGTTAAAAGGAATAAATTAAAACAAGACAAAAGAAAGCGTTCAGCCTCAGTGATCTTCTTTTGTCTTTTTAATGTATTCCTTTTTTACTAAATACAAAATCCTATTTTTTATGACAACGTTTTCGCAAGTAGGTGTATATATCAGGGTAGAAGGTTGATCATCATAGGTCTACTTTTCAATGTTGGGATGAGTGCATGTTAGCATGTTATGTAGCTTTGTGGTATTAAATTTCTATTGGTGTTATAACACTTTACCTGTAAGGAAGAGGTTGACTCTGATGAATGATATTCTGTTCATAGGCTATCACCCTAAAAAAAGACAGCGTCAAATGAACGAGTGTTTCATGGAAAAAGTAAYGGTTACTAATGATAGATCGCATTGCTAGCTAGCGCTGACTTACATCGTCTCGGGAGTGAGGACTATAGTGCACAGTAATTTATGAATACATATACCAATTCATTTTCAGTGGAAAACATATTCGACAAAACTCGAYCAGGAACTCAAGATTAATTTACCCTTCATTTGTAGCAACGATTGCCGTCTTCTTTGTAATATCAAGATTCCCGATTTGGGTTCGTTGTTCCCTGACGGCRACTAAAGCATCTCTACTCATTCTTAGCTGCTTCTTTWGGAWTTKTTTTGTRAATTAAATGAGTTAATGGGCAGTTTGAGACAAGAAAAAWAGTTTATCWGCAAGCCATTGCATGCTATGGACCGATGTGATTTCCGGGAATCGATCAGACTGTCACGTGCCGGATCACATGCTCAATTTTATTCATTATTTTTTTCTATATTTTACTTTTTCTTATTAAATGCAATTGCACGAGGTTAAGCAATTGAATTTCTTTTTATTCTTTGGTATTTCAATTTTTCTACAGTCTAATATACCTTTAAAATGAAATGCGTGACAAGAAAGAAATAGCGTGACTATAATCGGGCTTCCTGTGTTATGTCACAAACATTGGTGTCAACCGGTGACCTCACAAAACATGGGGATCATAGCAKTAGCAATAGCTTTAATTTTGGTACTGCTACAGACTATTGCAACAACAGGGGAAGGTATTCGCCCTACAAAAGATGTCTGTCCGTTCGACAACGTTTCAATAAGTGCACTACTCGACCCTCCTTATGTGGATGCTGCCAATATCACGAGAGGTATAGTTAGCGAGTTTATTGTCGAAGCACTTAGGACTTGCTTCGAAACTAAAATATGCCGTGGAAAGATTCGTCATCTTCAGTGGAAATACCTGTATTCTCAAGAAGAGTTGTTTAAAGCAGTAAAGAAGAAACAAAGTGATATAATCTTCCCTGTCCCACATTCCTTGACATCACGAAGAAAACAATCCGTGAACTATTACCCTGTCATTACAACACCAGGCCTTGCTTTAATTGTTAACTATCGTGGCTGTAAAAAGATCGCTGGTACCTTGCTCAGTACGACTGTTTCGTCGGTGTGGCCAATCTTGGTCTTCAGCCTTCTTCTGGCTGGTATATCAGGTGTCTGTATATGGGCTATGGTAAGAAAGAAAGGGAGGGAGATAGATATTGAAGGATAGGGAATGTGGAGGGATGGGAGTAAATAAGGTAATATAAAGGTCTTCAAGGTCCGGCTAACACGAGTCCAGAGATTTTTTATCCGCAAAGGCCGTTTTCTTGCCCTTACGTACGCTTGGCCAGATTTATGGACTAATTTGGACAGCGCTTTAGTGCTGTTTTTATTGAAAATCGCACGTGTACACAGCGGATGCTTACGTCGATAGTCATGTTACAAAATAATCGATATTGCTACAATATATATGAATAAAAACCAACAGACCATCTGGATTTTGACATTTTAGGAACATCAACATAACAATCAGCAGTTTTCAAAACCTTTCAGTCGCGGATCTTACGATGGATTTTGGTGGGCTGTTGTTTCCATGACAACTGTTGGGTATGTATCAAAAGTTGCTACTCGGAATCGCAAGCCCGCTGAACTGTAGTTTTACATTATTGTTTGTCTAAACACTCCACATTTCAAACGGGAAAGCTGTGGTGGGTCATATAGAACCTGTGTACACAAGACTTAGTAAGACTTAGTAGTGAAGAATGATTCAAGTTCTGATATTGAATTCAATTTCAACAACAAAAGCAACGTCAACAAAAAATAGCAACAAAAATAACAGCAACAACATCAATAATAACAACAACAGCGGCAACAATAACAAATACCAAAGCTCCAGTTTTACACGCAAACTGTTAAATACACTATAAACGCTGATGAAATGCAATGACGACTTGCAAATGGTTTTGCTGACCAGATATGTTTTTGTTCCTTAGATACGGTAATCAAGTTCCGAGTACGTTGCTAGGGCGCTTGTTCAGTTTGCTGTGGATCCTGACCGGTGTTACCATGGTTTCTATATTTACTGCGTCAATTACAAGTGCTATAACAGTCGTGTCAGTGCAACAGTCTTGTAAGGAGATTCAAGGACAACTTGTAAGTCGTTCAATAATCTCATACCACTTTSAGTGGATTCAGTGCGTGCGTTGTGCCTCAGTCTAGGATCGTATAGTGTAGACACAATTAAACACTACCAGACAACTATTCGGCTAACTAAATAACCATTCAACTAACCATATACAACAAGCATTCAACTAGCTAAACAACAACCAACCATCCAGTTAACCAAACAAACAACCATTCAGCGAACCAAACAAAAAATCGGCACAACATACAACAGCTTTGCCAACCATCCAGCCAACCAAATCTACGAACAAAACTAAGAAATAAATTAACCTTCCAACTTCTTCAATGTTTCTTGTCATAAGATTGCTGTCCTGAATGATACCGATGCWGAAGAACTTGCACGTCATCGCGGTGCTATTGTGAAAGGTACTCATCATTCTATATCTATCCAATCATCTATTTAGTCAATCTAATCCTTTCATTTTTCCCTCTCATTTCTTCCATTCATTCATTTTTCTACTTCATTTCAAACTTTATTGAACCAATACATCTATACTCCATGACCGAGTTCGTCCTTTCCATTAATGTCCGTTCTTTTAGTGGCCTATTCATAGTATCCTGTGTTAAGTGCAAACCATTCGTTCACATAGAGTTCAAACATAATTTCCTCACAGGTTACAACGACGTCAAACCCATGTTTGAAGACTTAAAGTCACAAGAAATTAAAGGTATTTTGATGGATCGKCTAAAAGCGTATTATTACYTGAGTACCAGGAAAGATGAARGTTTCAGAATTGCCGAGGTGATCGAGAAAAAAGTGGAGTTTAGTGTCGCTATGGTGACTGGAAATATCACGGCATTGACGTCAAACGACTGTTTTATGGACACACTCGAGGAACCACGCGCGAAAATAAACAAGATTATGAAAAGATACATTCACCCTGTTAAGGTAATTCAACAATATTTGAAGGAGTCATCACCATTTATGTCTTTAGTGAATCTGCATACGCCGTATAATAGTACATCATATTGCACCCACAAAACAAACCAAAACAACTAGAGTATTCTAGCTTATTCTACGAARTAGTGAAGCCTACAGTGATTTTAAGATGTCTAATCGGCGTTTCTGCTATTTTCAGCCGTTAGCGATGTCCAACGATACAATTGGTTTGTTCTCTAGTGATTCTACACCAGTTAAAAATGCTCTAATAGCTTTAGCGGTTGTCCTAGCGTTATTAGTCTTATGCGGCCTTATTTGGGAATCTCTGTATCAACGACGGAACTGTTTTCGACCAACTTCTATCCCTAGTGAGTACACCTCATGTGAGTGCACATCTAGATTACCTGTTAATTAGCAATTAAAAATAAGTTTTGCTACAATGATAAATGTTGAACATTTTCAGATAACATTTTAACGAACGCCCAAGACATTCCGATGGAAGGCAAACGTAACGACGACGAACAAGTGACGCAACTTCAAGCTGCTATGACAGACCTTACGGAGCAGATTCGCGTTCTCAAATGTCAGCTACAAGAAGCTGGAATAACGACTCGCTGAAAGTCCTTAATACTGATAAACGCGATATATAAAAGGACTATTTTGAAAAGGTTTCCAGTTTCCACTTGCCGCGCGCGCCAAGACGCGCATATGTACAAAATGGCGCGAATTTCCAAAATATAGACAAACGACAAAATCGTTGGTTGTAATTGTATGCAGTCTTGTTTCTTTTATTTACAGTACTAACCCCCGACATCAGTAATTGAACTGAAAAGCCTCCCATTTAATAATTTAACATGACAAGACAAGGTGTCCATTGATGACTATCTACGCAACTGCTAAAGCTGCACCCAAAGATGCATCTGACAAATCCTTTATAACAAGTGGCAAACCCCAAGTTTTTTCAGTTTCTTTTTGTAGAATTAAATTTTGTGTGACTGCRCTACCAGTGCCTATGATTCTCTGTACACCACAAGATATCAACCTATGTTTAGGCATCAAAGAACTGAGATTTCGAATAATTCCTTGACACAGAGATATTGTTACGTCACTAAGAGATATATTACTGTCCCTTATGTTAGACACTTGACCTGTTAATTTTGTGTCATGGCGTTCTCCCCAGAGAGTTGGTCTTACTTCCAAAGAGGTAGCTTCTTTTGATGAAGCACACTBCATAAGTTTGCTGTAAAGTTCTTCTTTGCTTGGACTGGTGATTTCCAATTCTTTCATCCAGCCTTCCAGCATATTTACAAAAGTACTTAAGACATTTCCACCTATAAAATATTTTGATATTTTGATGACATACTTTTGTATCTGAATACAGATAGTATATGGGTGTTGTATAGCACTCATAGACATATCTAGCCATACATAGCATAGTGTGTACCACTACCAATGTTATCATAATTCTATTGAGTGTGTTGATACCTGTTAATGATGCTGCAACTGCTACAAATTCATCATTGAAGTATGGCCAAATTTGCACTGTTGAAGGAGAGGAATCTTTGCTGAATTCASGTACCTTATCACCAGATATCACTATAGCAATCTGAGATGACGTCCCTATGTTCAAAACTAGATAACAGCAAACAATATTAACAACCAAGTGATTATGTACTGATGGTCATTATAAAGTCAAATTGAYAATCTGATAATGACTGAAAAGGCTGGGAGCTAGAAGACCTTTTGGTTTCCCTGTGGACAGGAGGTACTCTTTGTACAGAGGTCTTGGCTGGTTAATACACTAATAGATGTCAATCATCAGGATATTGTAGTGGAAACTGCCTTGAAGKATCACTATTCTACAGTGAGTAACCAGGTTTCTTTAGCCTGAATTATACTATAATTACTTTTAAATCTATAAACAACTGTCAGTATAATGAATTGGTACTCTAAATATAAAGTTCACATTCTAAGTGCATTTTAGATGCTACCTGCATTACTCTTGTCATCAGTACTTGCAAGTACAGAGCATTGTAAGTCACCAAATGCAAGTCCAACTTTYGTTCCTTGTTCTATACCATAGYAGTCTGTGTTTAATCCACCAATGAACGTACCAGCTCCATAAACATCAGGTAGAAGATGAACAGGAAACCCTCCAGACTGTAAACTTGATGTAAAACATCTATTTTAGACAATTTTAAAATTTAAACCCATAGGAGAGTGGAATGGGTACAAGCGAATATTGCTTTATGTGTACAATATTCAAAGTGTTAAAGTTCACTTTATCCGAGATGACTTTTTTTTTGTCAAAGAAAAGAATAAAAAGGTAACATGATGTACATAGCCTTTGCCTATAAACCGTCTATGATTCTAAAGACCTGTGACAGATTCCAAGCCTGAATATCAGTTGCTGCATTGGTTTTTGTTCCTGTCAGTCAATGTTTCAACCTTCGCTTTGATAATAAATGCAATGCAGCTCAGATTTTTAACTGACGGAAACAAAACACCAAATGGCTGTTAGTTTACAAATGTGTGACTCTTTGAGATGATAAAACTCACACTTGCTTTTCCCACATACACGTCATGACGTCACAGTATCCCCAGCTGACAGCATTGTGCAATGACATCACAGGTTTGCTCAAACCACAYAGTTTTGCTACAAGGAAATCCTGCACTGTACCAGCACAATTGTATTGTTGTAAAAAATCATGATTGTTCTTARTGAGCCAGAAAATAGTAGCACATCCAAAGCCAGTGGAGAGAGGCAGACAGTTTTCGGAAGCCTTTGGTAATGAGTTTAGAAAATCTTTACTGCATCTTCCATCTTCCCATGTTACAAGATTRGATGTACAATTGCTGCAGCATTTTAAAACATCTGCACAATCAGCACACTTGCTATTGCTATTCCAAAACAAACAACMATGCATTTGTCCACTTATACCGATTTTCYTAAYGCGGGAAAGAAATTCTTTGGGAATAGTTGACAAAGTACTTTTGAGGACATCAAATATAATTCGTACATTTTGCTCACTAATGTCTGTATCTGAAGGAACTTTRGCGTTCGTATCTGCCTTGTTGGATAGTATAGTAGTTTTGGTAGTTGGATCAAGGAGAGTGACTTTYAAAGACGTTGTTCCAAGGTCGATTCCAAGTACAAGATCGTCAATGGAAGCCATATTGATTTACCACAGGAAGACCAGCAGCATCTTTTGGGTTACCTGTGGACAATCGTGTTTCACCATATTTCAGTGCATATTTGTACGGGGATTTTTAAGGTGTTTGACCTTTTTGTTTCTGGCTGTAGCGATTGAATTTACTGTAGTTATGAAGGTAGCAGTGATTGGATCAGGGGCCTCCGGTCTCACAGCGATGAAAGCATGCCTTGAAGAAGGTCTTCAACCAGTTTGTTTTGAACAAGAGGACACCATCGGCGGTTTGTGGAACTTTACTGAAGAAGAACGCCACAGTTCCGTGTATCGTTCTAYTGTGATCAACACCAGCAAAGAAATGATGTGTTTCTCCGATTTTCCAATTCCTAAAGATTTCTCTCCGTTTATGCATAACACAAAAGTCATGGAGTACTTCCATCTTTACGCCAAACACTTTGATTTGTACAAATATATTCGTTTTCAAACCAAAGTYCTKGAYGTTTGTAAGGCCGACGATCAYGACGAAACKGGTAACTGGGTTGTAACATCTGTCARTGTAGATYCATCRCCAAACCAGGAAAAGAAAGAGGTTTTCAATGCGGTTATGGTATGCATAGGTCACCATGCGTATCCTAACTGGCCCAGTCCACCATTCCAGGGAATGGACATCTTCAAGGGTGTCAAAATGCACAGTCATGCTTACAAAGATTTCAAGAAATTCCAAGGAAAGTCAGTTGTCGTTGTAGGTAAGGAATGGATACAACATGCATTCTGGTATATTTTARAATTMACAATCATTAATGTTGTATTGTTTATCTCTAGGTATTGGTAATTCTGGTGGTGATATTTCTGTTGAACTAAGYCGAGGTCATGCAKCAAAAGTATATCTAAGCACTAGAAAAGGAAGCTGGGTTTTCTCTAGACTTCACAACAGCGGTAAACCTATTGATCATTTTTTTGCAAGGCGTGTAATGAGCATCCTTCCTCCATCAGTACTTGGGGGTTTGTTAAAGGCAGATTTGAACAAGAAATTTGATCATAAAGTGTTTGGACTGGAGCCAARYYATTTACCTTTTCAACAACACCCAATGGTAAATGATGATCTTCCTATYAGGATTCTGAATGGAACCATAACTGTAAAACCAAACATTGACCACTTCACCGAGTCAGGTGTGGTATTCACTGACGGCACTAGTGTTGACCAGGTAGATGTTGTAATATTTGCCACTGGYTACCGCATTGGATTTCCTTTCCTTGATAAGTCAATTATTGATGTTGAGGACAACAAAGTCACCCTGTACAAGTATATGTTTCCACCACACCTCACAAAGTCAACCCTTGCTGTGATTGGCTGCTTCCAACCATTAGGGGCTATCAATCCGATAGTGGATTTACAAAGCCGATGGGCAACACTGGTCTTTAAGGGGAGCCGTTTGCTTCCATCAGAATCTGAAATGATGAAAGACATCAACATGAAAAAAGAAGCCATGGCAAAAAGATACTATGCTTCTAAACGGCACACAATACAGGTAAGTCTATATCTCGACTCCATCTTCATATATGACAAGCTGTTCAATTGCTATTATGTGGCATTTTAATCATGTGTGATACGATGGTATATAGAATTATTGATCATTAATGAATACTTATCATGTTATTATTTCATGAGATGTGTAATTATAATAATTTGGTGTTGTTTGATAGGTGGATTACATTCCATACAGTGATGAACTGGCTGAACAAATTGGTTGCAAGCCTTCCTGGGTTAAACTCTTTTTAACAGACCCAGTCCTTGCCTATTATTGCCTCACTGGTCCCTGCACCCCACCACAGTACCGTCTAGTGGGTCCTGGTACTTGGTCAGGTGCAAGAGAAGCAATAATGAAAGCTGATGACAATGTCATGTATTCAACAAGATCAAGAACAGTCCAGCATGACAATCCTGACAAGCTCTGGGCWGYTGCTAAACTGATGATTGTGYTCATGATTGTTGTTGCATTACTTATCAAACTGTTCTCTTAGATTAGATGAAAACAGCTTAAGCCACTCTTATCATAATATAATTTTATCTTAAAAGATTTATCATCAGCCTCAAATTTTCAAAAAGATGATTGGGACTATCTTCACAGGAAAGATGAATGAAGATGAAACCTGTAATGTCATGAATTAAGTAACATGATTCATACACCGAGGAAAAATATATCAAGACAATGTATATTATCTATATTATTTACAATGTATAAAAGGTGATAAAAAAGTAATTCCTTTGTAAAAAGAATTATAATAAATCTTTCAGAAAATTATGAAAAATGGATGGGCGACGCGTCCACTTATGCGAGAGGCGATTAGACGATCCCTAAGTCATATTACAGACTAA